ATTATAAAATGATAGTTTTTAAAAATGTTTAATTATACTATCGACATAAATGTAATAATATTATACTCTTAATGATATTGTACATTCAATTTTTAGTAACACGATATTTATTTTAAATTATCTTAGTTTTGGCTGCAATAATAATGTAACTCTTAGTGTATTAAAATAATTAATACTATGATACTATGATGTTCAAGAAGCACTATCCTAAATCAAATTATCCACTATTTTACCATAGGTCCTTTTCCCGATTATCACTAACAGATTAACTATGACACTTTTGCAATTATGTTATAATTTTCCTGTAGTAATAATGCTAACACATTATACATATGTTAGTCTTCGACATCTAATAAAAAATCATTTTTATAAAGTGGTCACAAATGAAAGGCCTTGAATAACGTCAATGTGTATTAATCTAGTCTTTATCGAAAATGCAGGTGGAATCGTGTAGCCAGATATAGAAATGTAGTCCAAACATCCAAAATCCAATTATAAATTTTTGGTGATAATTATCTTTAAATTTTTAAATTTAAAGTTAAATTTGGTGTAAATAACTATTTTCTTCCTCGATCACGCTACTATTAACTTACATTTTAAGAATAGTTAATATAAAATATGACCACTCTTTACTTCTGTTTTTCTAGGGAAAACTCACATTTTTCACAAACTATTAAAATACAAAACAAATTTTAATCTATAATAAAATCAAAAATCTCGAGAAGCAAATAAATATACAATACGTACTTGAATATATTATTAGAATCATTTAAAATATTTTATTTGATAAAGAATTTGAGTATTATTTTAAATGTAAATACTATCTAGTGCCTGCTTGTTTGTTATTGAAAAATACAATAATTTGTAAAAAATATTTTTTTAATGTATATATTGAAAATATAAATAAAATTACATGGACATTAAAATATTTAACACAGTTAAATATTTTTTATATTGTTAATTTGTCAATAAAACGTTTTGAAAACTTCAACCGTAATTAAAATTTTTTTTATCAATATGACGTATCTATATTTAAATAAAAATTTAAAATATTTTTCATAATTAATGAGATTTTAAAGATAAATACTCAAAAATTCATCCTAAATTCCCAGAATTACCAAGAAAATGTGAAACTCTAAAATTTTTTTTAAAAACATACATAAACTGTGTCTTAATATAATACTTGTTCATTAAATCATAAAATTAAATTTTTTTTCTCTTCTTATAATGGATTAAAATTATATTTTTATTAATTTATTTAAATACACGGACTATAAACGCATTCTGATTTGGTGAGATGTATATTATTAATTGTTTAGATGTATATTATTAATTGTTTATAGTTTTTAATAAATCACAATCACTCATTAAACGTTGACCATAAAATGTGTATGTTAAAAATATTAAAATTTTAAAAGAAAATTAAAAAATAATAATAACTACAACTAAATGGTAAAATAATACATTATATTGAATCAAAGAAAAAAACTAAATTGTATCGTATACAATTTTCATTTCAAGACCTATTTCAATACCTGTCATGTAAATACATTTATTCCAAGTTTTAAAAATAAAATATTTCGCTCTTGTTATTGATGACGTTTCACAAAGATATTCATAATGTCTATTCCAATACCGTAAAATACTGTAGAACGAAAGTTGTAGATCTATCTAAAACACCTATACAACAAACTCATTTTAAAGCTTATGTGAACATAATTCATGGTGCAAATCTTTATAAAACCTGACACAAAAATAATTAAATAAAAGTTTTTCGATCTAAGAACATTTTGTGCCGTTTGAAATGTTCCTTAATAGGTATCTATATATCAAATTAAATACTTTTCGCCTAACCTACATTTCATCAATTCACTCTCCCGTAGTAACAAAATCAGCCCAATATTATTTTATTAGATCACAAATATGACTAAAAGAAGGTCGAGACTAATATTTTTCTCTTCTTTATTTTTAAAAGCTGCGGTTTACATCTGAGTCGTAGCTCTTCGTATGGAAAGAAAAGATTATCTAATAATTCTTATTTTAAAATAAGAAAGACTTGGGGACTTCGAAGACCCCCAACTCCAAGGTTTTAATGCCAAACAATTTATTAGGCACCAATATAACAATATAAGAAAATATTGAAAGACAGGCATATAACTAAATCCTCGACAATAATCATCGAGAAAGAATTAAAATAAAAAAAATTGATTAAATTAAAATAAAAAGTATATTATATAATAAATGATAATAATAATAACAGAAATTTGTTTGCTACTGAACTATAATTTAAACATTGTAAAGTTTGTATAAGAATCACCCAAAAAGCTCCCAAAAAGTTGACCTTGCCATTTTTAATGACTATGGAGCAAAGAAAAATTTTAACATAATAGACACATATAATAAATTTAATCAAAAATAAATAAAAATGAAGTCACTGGGTTTTTTTTTTTAATTTTCTTTACGTCATTGTTACTTAGATATTACATCACATATATCTATTTTTCACATTGTACCTAGCATTGCAAAGACGATGTACTTTTTAACAAACATACATTCAAATATATACGTTATAAAATCTTAAACAATATAGATAAAATTTTATGCTAAATAAATAAATTGTATTAAGTTAATGTGACGAGTTAAAAGACTTCTTAAAAACGTTTAAGTCTTGTACTATATTATTAAATATTTTAAATTAAATTATTTTATGAATATCTCCAGACTTTAGGTCATATATTTTGCATTATAACATGTGCAATTTTAGTATTAAAGTATCATTTAAAATACTGTTTTTATTTTTTGTTTTAATGTTTCTTTGAGTCTTCTGAAAAATCGATGATTTCTTTGTAACTTACAATATTACTACGAATTTGATTTATTTATAAATTTGGTAAAATGTTAGATGACGAATAAAGGATATTGATTTAATGTAATTTGTATATTAAAATAAAAAAAATATCTGAGGCATAATTATTAAACAATCTATTTTTTAAAATTAAATTTATTGCAATTAAAGTTTTTGAAATAATTTAAGCGTATTAAATTATTACAATTAAAAACTAAGCTATAAAAATATGAATCAATTAACGTATTTATATAGGTATCAATAATATTGGTAATAAAATAATAGGAAAATAAAAAATATGTTATTTCACTAACTCACAATGTATTACAACAAATAATTGTTTTAAGTACATATAAATTTCATTGTAATATAATATTTAATTTCTATTTGCTGAATAATAGAAATATTATATATTGCTAGTTTAGATATCATAATGAAAAATAATAATATTATTAAGAAATAACATCATAATGAAAACTTATAAAAGAGCCGATAAATTAAAATTAGAAATAAAAACTGGAACATAATTATATAAAACATCATCATTTCTATTGAATTGTTTTTAAAAGGGAAATTCTATAAAAAGCCTTTTTTTTTATTCATAAAAGCTATTAAAAAATGTTATTTTCAGCCCTATAGTTTCTTAGGTATCTTAAGTTTCTCTACACGTCATTAAAAATGTAATTATATTTTGTTTGAAAAAAAATTAATCTAATTGTTAATGAGAAAATATAGCATAAATATTTTATGTTTTTAAGATTTGATCTTTTTTTATTGTATATTTTAGTTATTCCATTGTCTAGTATACTAATTATTTCTTAATTGAAGAAGACTTATATTAATTACCTATCATGAATTATTGAAAAAATCTGAATAAAAAGCAATTCTTTTTAATTAATTAAATTTTTTTGAAAATTAACAAAATGCACGTAAAAAAAGTGAACAATTTTACTTTAATGAACGTACTAGAATAAAAAAATATTTCCTATGTTATAAAAAAAATATTATGTAAACCAGATATTTTAACTGACAAAATAATATGATTTAAATTTTAACTCCCTGTTGGTTAATATTTATTTAAAAACATTCTAATATAACTATATAACTCAAAAATAATGGTCTTCCAATTTTCAATAAATCAATAATATTTTTAGGTTGTTGCGTAAAATAACTAATGGTACACTTAGAAGTATTAAATATTTAATTTTGAAATAATCATGTAATTACACACGTGGTGATTGTAATATAAAATAATTACCGGAAAAAAAAATAGGAGATATTATAAATATACTCAAACAACTAAGTATAGTTAAAATATATTGTTTTCCTCAACATTTATTTTAAAATATTTTCATAATTTAATAATATTTTGAATTTATTATTTTAAAATTCTTTACATTTTATTTTACAGTTACATATTTTTAAATGTTAAGTACAAAAATTTTGGATCAATTATTATCCAATAATATTTGAATATATTTATTTATAAATTAAATTGCATACTAATTTATACTTAATGTACATAAAAAAACTATTTAAGACATACGATTAAATACAGATTATATATTTTCCAAGAAAAAAGAAAAAAAAAAGACATACGATAGGTTTTATAAAATAAAAATGTCATAAAATGATATTCTTAATTTTTAATTATCAGAAAAATATAAAAAATTTTTAAAATTATTTTCTTACATTCAGCTCGTTAAAAAACTCGTGTATCTAATCCCTTTTATTTTAGAAATTTTAAATTTTTTTTTATTAATGGTGATTATAATTTTTGATTAGTTTTCATATTTTTTACTTTACATAATTTAATTTAATTAATATTCCAAAAAAATAATTTTTGAATTTTAGTATAAAACTCAATATTTAAAAAAAAAATAATAATGTTTTAATAATATTTATATTAACCAGTTATTCTTGTTATTTAACTTTTATAGATAAAAGTAAAAATATTAGAGATATGAAAAACTTCAAAAATAATATTGTAAATATAACTCTTACACGTATAACTCTGTAGAATATTGATCAACGTTCTTTTGATTAATATTATTTGTTCTCCGTAGATTAATATATGTTAACAATTATTATTGTTAAATTACAATTAACAGAGAAAAATGTATAAATGTGAAAATAAATTAACAGTGAAACTTACCTGTACCCCAAAGCGCGACCAGTTTGGTACAAATGAAGATACTGTACAGAGAGGAATCTACTTCGCCATTTATATATATAGGTACGTGCTACGTTGTTACACTGTTTGAACACTACGCTATCCGTACGGGTGGATCGTTCCGAGAGGGTAATATTCCATGCTACTCCATTTAGCGTGCGCAACAAGTCCCACCTCCCTTTGGGGGTTTGTCCAAAATTTGCAACAGTTATGCAGCTTCTGAAAAAAAAAAGTTCATACCGAATCGTAAAAATACAATACATATTTGTTCACAAATTTCCAATCCACTGGTATATTATTGTTATTATTATTTGATTTATTTGTTAAAGTAATGTCATATATATATATATATATATATATATATTCCATACTTGAAAAAAGATTAAATTCAGATCGTAAATATTTTTCGTTAAGGGTTTAATGTGATCGCTATCGAGTTTATAATTTATACTGCATATTATACTAATTAAAAATAATATAATATAATTATATTTTATCTTATTAAACGTTATTACTAGTTTATTAATAGTTTAGATATATTATTTTTATAAAAAATTTATTGTTTACAGTACTCATAATGTATTGTTCGTATTAATTGTAAGTTTTAAATCAACAAAATTATTTAAACTTGATAATTTATATAAATTACTTGCATATGTTATAGACCTAAAGCAATTTCGTAGTTTTAACTTCATTTTGAATTTTCAGAATTTATACTAATTGGATATTATTATTTTACGAGTATATCAATAAATTGAAACGGTCAGACATGTAATTGAATTTCCTTTAAAACTACCCACGAGTATTTTAATAATTTTTGTAACAAATCGTATTACTATAATATTGATATCTTAGCTCCGATCCCTGAAGTAATTTACATTTTTAGAATGGGTTTACCTATGTAAAAAATATTAAAATATATTCATAAATATAGATAAATAAACATATTCATTTAATTATCACTTTTAATATTGCAAACAACTTCTGTAGATTGGCTAAATAATTTAAAATTAATAAGGATATAAACGTGAAAATAATTTAGATCTTGTTTTAAGAAATGTTTAATATATCATTATATATTAATACTGATTTGTGTACTGATTTGCGAAACACAATCATTTATACCGAAACATTCTCATACAACAGTTGGATTAATACTTAGGTACTAATGTAAGAATACCGTTATTTAATCTGTAATGAGAGTAGAGTAAACTGTTTTACTATAAAAAAATATAAAATATGAACGAAAATAAGATTTTAATGTCCAACATTTTTTTGGAAAATTAGATAAAACTATACTATAAATTTATAAATTTAATCAAAACTTCCTGGTACGGATAAACATAGTAAATGTTTGTCCTAAAAAAAGCCTTCTATACCAAAAACTTGGAGTTAATACGATTGACGTGTTTGTAATGGTATAAAGTTTTCTATTATTTTAAAATTTTACTCATCAATCAAGTTTACTGATTTCATCAATAATACCTTAATCCGTAATAAAAATAAATAATACAATTTAATCGGTGTAAAATAATATCACCGATATATTAAACACTATTTATTTAGTCGTGTGTTTTTCATTCATAACTATAGTATCGTAGCCAAAAACATTTAAATAGTATTGAGATTTAATTTGTTTATAAGAAGTATTTAAATCAAAAATTATAAATTGTCTCAAAACACTGAAATATTATACCAGATAAATAATTAAATAATAGTTAACTGAAATTTAATTTCAACTGAAAAATGTATAAAGTGACTATATTTTGGAAACCTTTACATGAATTATTACAAAAAAGGTGTTAGTAGAATTTCAAAAAGGAAATTCTTAAAATTTTTATTCTTTTTCCCCAAATGTTATGAGATAAAAATGTAAATAATTGAACGTTGGTCATATATCAATTTTTAATAAAAAATAATACCAATTGTGCAATAAAACATTCGTATTATTATTTTTAAGATGCTAATATATGCAAGTACATATTTTTGTGACTTAAATTTTGTTAAATCCTGATCACCTAGTTTGAATGTTTCAAATAGATTCATAACTTCTAATCTAAAATTATTAATATTTGGTCAAGGATAAATACTGTTAGATCAGCTTACAAGAACCGAACCAATAATTAAACATCAGATTTAACCAAACCTAACCAACCACGGCTGATCAATTATTATTGATTAGTCTTTGAACCAAAATGGTTGATGTAGTTTTCGCGTTAACTATGAAATCGGTTTATTCCGTGTGTTAACTATTGAATCCAATCCAAAGTTTTAAGTATGTACGTTGATACAGTAAAACCTTTAACCTTACATAATGGATATCAAATTATTTCACATCATCTGTAGTACTTTACGCTAGTAATTTCGGCAATTTGGGTATTTAAAAGATCAACAATAATCATTAAAACGCAATGATTTGGTGTATTTAATGTTTTGAAATTTTAACTAATACAAAAACTGTTACTTAATAAATTCAATATATTATATGAATATATATTTGTTTTTATTTAAGATTTAAATTATTCAATTTCATTCTTATTCTTATGCATAGTATAGTAAGAGAAGAAATAGTACATTATGAATCATACATTTTAGTATTTGCATAACGTATTAAATATTTATGCGTATTTGTAAAAATAATTTTGCAGTTTTTTCTGAAATTCTAAATTCTATTATGTTTCTCAAAAACTACCGATTTATATCATATATATGGATTACTTAGAAAAAAGCAGTACAACGAATAATATCTTAAAGACTACATAAATTGTTTAAACTATAACCTAGGGTTTTCACTGGCTACTTTTTTTAAATTAATTACACATTTATTATTCCAAATGTTTTTAACTAATATTGCTATTGAAGTTCATTTTGAAACACATAAACATATTTATTCCAATTAAGTGAATTAAATTCTAACATGCATATCAAGTGCATATTGTTTCGTATAAGTACGTGAAGAATTAAAAAATATCCTTGTACAATCCAATATTTTTTCAATTCACAAAATATGAGATCTAAAGACTTATAAATATAAATATATACAACCTTTAGTGCTATGAATTATTCTTCATTTTTAAGTGTTGTATTTTTAAAATTGAAATTTTCAGGACAATGGATGTTTTTTTATTTTGTTATGAATCATAACTTATGATATTAATACGCAAATATATAATTTATTGTATACGCATACAGCAAAATCACAGATTATTTCATATTAAGCATATATTTGTTATTATAAAACCAAAACAATTAACTTAGCGACTAAAATCCGCATCTGAAATGAGTCCAAGAGATGTCTAAGATACCCTTAAGATACTCTCTAAAATACTACACCCTTTATTCTTCTTTTTCTCCTTCGCCTTTTTCCCAACTATTTGGGGTTGGCCACCTTTATCTTAAACCCCCATTCGTCTCGATTTTCTACATCTAAAATACCTTTTAAAAAAAATAATAAAAAAAAAATAAAAATGCGTGTAGGGACTTTTTCATAGAATACATCATATAAAAAATAGAAACATGCAAATTTCATCAACATTTTATTCTGTATAAAAAAATTGTAAACTGGAAATAAAATATATTCAAATACAAATCCAATTTATAGGAAAATTCTAAGCTACAAGATTATATTTTGCAAAGAATTGAAACTTTTTAAATTCTGTATTTATGGCATTCTGAGAAGTTCATGAATACTCAGAAAACTTATTTAATAGCACTCAACAATTAATTTTAGTTAGTATAATTTTATATTTTAGAACACTCGTGGTATATTTCGAACCTTAATAACAGCAATAACCTGAGAACACCTGTACTTCAAATCCTATCCCATCAGTATTACAACAGATTCCACGACAAATTCAAAAACCACAAAAATCCTCTTATCCTCAAAACGTCCTCTTTAACCATTCCAAGAAATCCTATTTTCCTATTCAAAAGCTTAAAAGAAATTGGGTGAGTGAAGTCTTAACATAAAAAAAAAAAAAATCGAATTACAAATAAATACATTTTATACATATTATAGAAGTGCTACTAAAGAGAGACTTCCTCCATCACGCATTTCATGTTATTTTATTTTATTTTTTCTTCTGTAAATAATCAAATATACTTATTGTACTAATACAAGTACAAATTATAGTTACCATATAATAAAAAAATAACAACAAATATTTTAAAACGAAAATACTATTACAACCTATAGTTGTAAAATGCTCCTAATTATTGAATAACCTAATTTGCGTATAACCCTTTTGCCGTTTTACGTTTACACCACCAGCAAACGTTATTGTAAAACTAATTTATAATTTTTATTTATGCGGTTTAATCATTCATCTGTTTTGTGTGAATTTAATTCCACACATCTATTATATCTTTGAAGTAAATAAGCTTTGATGTTTTATTCACGTGTTATAAGTGATATTTAGTCAACTAGTTAATTAACACCAGTGCAAATACAGATGAAATAAGCAATAACACTTACACTAATGTTCCGACGTAATAATTAGCGTTTCTATTGCATAGAGACAAGGAACAGAGATTATCCTACTCGTGACGGTGTCAAAGCAATAGACACCGGGGTTGATAAGAAAATTAATTATTGGACTTCCTAAATTATTACACGAACCGTAAATTAGTAGAATAATGCAATTCGTTCGTGTATAGCGAGAAGTCAAAAATCTAGAAACATACATAAAATAAGTATCAATATTATCATTCGTTGATAGTAATATTATGATATTTCATAATATTTTTTCTATACAAATTATTGTGACTTAAGTCGACTTTGACGTTCGTACGGCCAACTAATAAAGACATACAGAAATATGTTTTTTACTCAGTACGTTCGATTTCTATGTGAGGAAATTATAATCCATACAACGCTATAATAATACGAATATTACGTGTGAACATCTGTACATAACATCATGTATAAGCATGCGAATAGAAAAAGGTTAATGTTCGAATATTCGAACCACGGAAAAAATAATCTCTGAGCCTGTGGTTATTATTTTCAATTATAAATTTTTTATCGACTGTTTAAAAAAAAAAAAATTGTTCAATAGTTAATGTCCAAGAATTATTCTATTCTAAAATAATTAACATTGTGAAA